TCTCACCACCAATCGGCACCCGTTCACAGACCCCCAACCTACACCACCCCACCACAGAACACACTCACCTCACCGGTGACACGTGTGTTCAACAACAACCGGCTCATGGGGCAGCCACAGGTGTAGGGACAAAGGCAACAGAGACACGGGTGTTCACCTGCACAGGTGACGGGGATACAAGCACACACACCACGCTTATCCCCGCATTAGGTCAGTCTGCGCACGTAAAGCAAGAGGCGAGCAACGAGGCAACCGACGTTGACAGTATGGTCATGGCGGTTGACACCGACGACCAGACAGTTCCCGTCGCGGTTAAGAACCAATTGTCCAGCTCGACCGATTGCACTACGACTAATAATGATACGCGAACACGCCCAGACAAAATTCCGACCCCCGCGGTCGAGCTCGAATTTCCGTCAGGCTTCGTAACAGCTCTATTAGATTCGCAGGCACAAAAATCGTACGTAAACCCGACAGTAGCCCGTAAATACGGCAAAACACCTCCCCACGGACCAACGAACACAGTCCGGATGGCGGACGGTCACACTGCAACAAGCAGTGGCACCTCCACATTCGAAGCTAGGATAGGTACACTCGATATAAAATTCGAAGCTACCATCCTAGACAATTTGTATTGCGACGCGTTACTAGGACACGACTTTCTTGTAACCAATGAAGTCTCTTGGGATTACGCCGCATGCACAATTCACATGGGTAGGCAAATTCGTACGTCGACATGCTGGAAAGGGAAACCACAACCACCCGCCACTCGTCCCGACTTGTCACAATTACAATTTGGAAACGACCCCGAAACTCGCGCGAAACTAACCAAGATTTTAAACAAATACGCGGTAGTATTCAGCGAAAAAGTAGGACGTACCAAACTAATTGAACACGAAATTTTGCTAAAAGACCCGTCCCCAATCGCGCTCAAACCATACCCATATCCGCAGCAAAAACAAACCGCTATCGATGATATGGTGCGCGATATGGAACTCCAGGGGCTCGTAGAACCTAGCACCTCCCCGTGGGCCGCACCGGTAATATTGGCAAAGAAAAAAGACGGAACTTTTCGTCTCTGTGTCAACTACAGGCGGCTTAACGACGTAACGGAATCCGACGCGTACCCAATGCCAGATCTCAACAAAATGATTAGGCAAATGAGGGGCGCGAAAATTTTCAGCATTTTTGACCTGAGGTCGGGGTACTGGCAAGTACCACTACACGAAAATGCGCGAAAATACACGGCTTTCCGGACACGTAGAGGTCTATTCCAGTTCAGAGTCCTCCCCTTCGGTCTAAAAAATAGTCCAATGACTTTCGTGAGACTCATGAACGAGGTCATGAGGGGGTACCAGGATGATTTCGTACAAGTTTACCTAGATGATATTGTAGTATTCTCAAGGAACGAGTACGAACACCAGGCCCACCTAGACAAAGTTCTCGAGCGCCTCAAGAGATTCGGATTAACGTGCAACACAAAATAATGTAAAATCGGTCTTCGCGAAATTTCATTTTTAGGGCACATAGTAGACTCGGAGGGCATACAAAAACAACCGGAAAAATTGGTATGCATCGATAATTTTCCGGTTCCCAAAAAAGTTAGGGACGTACGTAAATTTTTGGGCGTGTGCAATTGGTACAACCAGTTCGTAGATAATTACGCGGGTACCATAGCACCCCTCACTAATTTATTAAAACAGGGGGTTCGGTGGAAATGGACAGATGTAGAACAACGCGCGTTCGAATCAATAAAAAACGCGCTAGTCACATCGCCGAAATTGTCCCCACCCGATTACAGCAAAACGTTTTGTCTCCAAACCGATGCAAGCGAGATAGGAGCTGGCGCGGTACTCTTCCAACGGGGTGACAGACCGGAGGAAAGACGCATCATATCCTGCGCAAGCAAAAAGTTTAGCGAGACACAGACGAGGTACGCCGCGGTAGAACGCGAGTGCCTAGCAGTAATTTGGGCAACGGACAAATTTCGGCCATACCTAGAAACCCGACGTTTCGAACTCCTAACAGACAACTCGGAACTGACATGGTTACACAGGGCTAAAGACAAAAATTCAAAATTAACACGTTGGTCACTACAACTAGCTAATTTAGATTTTAGTACGGTACACGTCCCGGGAATACAAAACGAAGCACCCGATTTGTTATCCCGCGACCCGGCACCGGGCACACCTGTAGACGAAGATCGACTCGAGGAAAAATTGGTAGGGGCACCTGTAACGCCGACAACCAATGTTGACCCCGAGTCGGATCGCATATTCTCCATGTTCGATAACCACGGCAGTGACGACACACCACTCACCGCGTCGACGCTCGAAAAGTGGCAGTCCGAAGACGCCGCGATCCGCGACATAGTCGCTGGTCATAAGTGGGACGGACCAACGCGAAACACTAGAAGCACGAAATCGGGAACAAACACATATGTTTTCTCCGACGGTCTCTTACGCGTAAACGTAGGCCCCCACACACCCATCGTGATACCGAAAACAAAAATACAACACGTAATTTGGAGGTGTCACGATCACGTCTTATCCAACTTGGAAAGAGACGTACCGGGCGGTTCGACAACGGTACTATTGGAAAGGTCAAAAAAATGACGTTAGGGCATATGTAGGTGCGTGCCACGTATGTGCGTGCACGAAACCACTAAACTCACGTCCCACCGACCCAATGCAACCAAGAACCCCCCGGCAACCATGGGAAGTCATCAGTGTCGATTTAATGGGCCCATACCCACGTTCCGGTAAGGGAAAATCGTACATACTGGTAGCAACCGACTGTTTTAATAGGTGGACCGAGGCTTACCCCTTAGGAACAGCAACCTCAAAAACAATAATCGAAACGTTAGAGCGAGAGTTCTTTTCGCGTTTCGGTTACCCCCGCGTGTGTCTCAGTGATAACGGCCCACAGTTTGTGTCAAACGAAATGATAAACGCACTAGAACGCTGGGGGGCACAGGGTTGGACGACTCCAGTCTACCACCCGAGCGCCAACCCAGTCGAACGCCGTAATCAAGATTTAAAAAAAGGTTTGCGCGCACAACTAGTCGACGGCAAACATAAATCTTGGGACACAAAACTACCCTCAATTCTTTTTTCGATACGGAACAGGTGCAACGAACAGACATGCTACCCACCCGCGGTCCTTGTCCTAGGCAGGGAATGCAAGAGACCCGGAGATTGGGCGCTATCTAAAATTGCACCGGTAAATATCGAAAAATCACAGGAAGAGAGGGTAGAGCGGGAAAAACGTATTATAGGCAAAAAGGTAGTGGTAAAGCCTAACACGAACACCGGCACACCGGTGAAGTTCGGCAAGGGCGACGTAGTCTACTACAAAGCACACCACCTATCTAAGGCACATAAAGATTTTCATGCCGGGTTCGCACCAAAGTGGTGGGGACTGATAAGGCTAGCGAAGCAGGTCGGTAAAGGAGTCTTTCTAACCGACCAAAAACCGCCGCGAAAAATACATGTGTCGTGTCTAAAACGCGCGCCCACAGGTCAAAGTAAATAAACATTTGTCTGTACTAATCACCATTTACAGACAACATGGCCGACCAACAACAACAGGTGAAGTGGCAGCAGGTGGCCGACCTAATTCAGCGGCTGGGGCTGGTGCCCAGTGGCCAGGATGAGCCGCGAACAGCCGCCCAGGTCGCGAGGATGTCGACCCGCCAACTCCTGCAGGACCCGGTGCGGGCGGCCATCTACAACCGGGGCTGGGCGGACCGCACAGCGGACATCCAGCGGAGGTTGCGGCCACAGCGACCACCTTCAGCACCAAGCAGCCGCACCCCATCACTGACGCGGCCACCAACACCAGCAACCACGCCTGTCCTCCCGACACCTGGCCCCGCAACACCCGCCCCCGTGACACCTGTGGAGCCGACACCGGTACCCAGGTCAACGGGGGTACACCCCGCCCCGACGGTAAGGGTGAGGACGGAAGCACAACAGGCGCGGAACCGCAGAAAGTTCCAGCAGCTGAAGGAGAAGAGGAAGGCCAGGGAAAGCGAGGCAAGCCAACGACATCGGCTTGCCAAGCAGCCTGCGCCAACCTCAGACCCGGAAGCAGCCTGCGTGCCACCGACCCACCACATACCGCCGGTAGCGATGGAGGTAGACAAACCGGCGCCCGAGGACCGAAAGTCCGAGGAGCCGGGAACATCTACCAACCAAACGCCACCTAACCAATCAGGGACCCCGGACGGAATAACCGAGTCGGATTGGTTGGTGGCATTTGAGGGGTTGCCGGAGATGGAGTACGACCCCGCGTACTACACTCCGGTAGGGTCCCCAAAACACGGATAAACACCACCTACGGGCTACGGGCGCGGGCGAGTCTACCTCAAGCGGAAGCCAGAGGTAGTACAAGCCACCCCCGTAACGACACTCCGGCACTAGTACAAGTTTACCCCGTGTGGCGGTTTGGCAGGGGAGTATGACACGGTACGCAGCGGCAACCAGTACAAAGTACAGGTACCGCAGCGGCCGGTCTACGCTTTTGTCAACCGCCACCACGGGCTACAGCGCGACATCGCCAACTCTCCCACCACGCCACAAAGGCACAAGGCGGGACGGGAAGGCAAGTCGCGTAATACGAGTACCGGCCGCCGGCAATTCTCTCTCTTGTTCGACAACCGTCCGACACACACCACGGTTTTACCTACAACACGACCGTCAACGTTTTCGACGTTCATCGACACACACCGCGACCCTCGATACCGTCGATATTCGTTTTATGTATATTTGTATTACCACGCTTCTTGCAAGGTAAATAGTGAGTGTGAAAAATAAAACAAACCATCATCAAACCACAGACGCATTGCTTTTGTTCTTCGCCACTCCTCACCATCACGTTGCGACCGGCTCACCGCGGACGCTACTCCAACACCGCCGTAGCCGCGTCAACTGAGAATAACAACGTTCGGTTACTTGTTTTTAAAACTTAATAGTTAAAGTTTCTTGTTGCGCGTTAAAATGGTTCAAACGTGTTCCGTTGCTTTTTGCAAAAGCAGAAAAACATCAAGCGGTGACTTACATTTTTTCTCGTAAGTATAATGTACTGTAGAGTGCCATGGCTCTACGGACCACTAATTTAACCAGTAAACTAAACTAAATTTCCCATTCATTTTTCTTTCCTCTATACATTTCCGTGTACCTACTTACCCTACTAGACATCATGCACCCTTCCACATTCGTAATCGTTCCACCTCTTACGGTAATAACCATCCTTTGCACCGCATGCTTCGTTTTGTCAATAATGCCATATAGTTCATTCTGTAGGTACATATAATTGCTTGTAATTATTCTAGTTTTTAAGCTGTCTATTTGTAAATATTTTGTACTGTTATCTGCCTAATATATGTAAATTTATAATTTTTGTAAAATGCCGTTTGGCGTAGATAAAAAAAAAAAAAATAAAAAAAAAATACTAGAGTAAGTGACTACTTAATTTTACTATTCAAATTGACTACGACTTATTTCAAATCATCATCTTTTGGATCCCTGACAGGGGTGCAAACAACAATACTATTAAATTGTTAAATCATAAATAATATTATATATAATTGTTTTTGATTTTAGGTTTCCTTTAAAAAATCCCGATCTATTGCAACATTGGGTTAGTGCTACAAAAAAAGATTTGTTTGTTCCAAATAGATGGAGTAAAATTTGCAGTAATCACTTTTTACCTAGGGATTATAGACAACCTCCTGGGGGAACTTATATTTTAAAATTGAATAGTGACGCTTCCCTACAGTTTGTTTACCATCATCATCCCAACCACCTGTTAAATTCCAAAAAGTAGAGCATGAACTATCTTCTGAAATCGATAACTCGACAGAGAATGAATCAATGGAAACCCATAATAGTGATAAGTCTTTAAAAATCCAAAATAGTGATGATCCTTTATAAATCCAAAATAGTGATGAACCTTTAGAAATCCAAAATAGTGATGATAAGATAGCTACAGGAATAACTCCTGTAATTTTGATCACTCCAACTAAATATCAAAGGAACTCTCCAATCAAAATGACTCCTACAAGGAAAAGAAAATCCATTGAAATAACTACTCCGATAAGAAAAATGAAGTCTCAAATCAAAGTATTGCAACAAAAAGTCCGAAGACAAAATGTAAAAATCAAAAACATGTCTGAATTATTCAAAAAAATTAAAAAGAAGGGACTTCTGGACTCAGAAATGGAATGTACAATCACAAACATATTTGATGGTATATTTTTGGAGCTGTTTAAAAAAAAGTTAAAAATAAGCAATTAATATGGGATAGAGTAAGTCACAAATATGTTGGGTATTGTGACTATGGACATGAGGTTGAAGTTGAAGGGAATAACACACCTGCTACTGAAGCCCTTGTATTCATGTTAGTAAGCCTAAATGGCAAATGGAAAATACCAATGGGGTATTTTTTCCAAAATAAACTGTCTGCTGTAACCAAAGCTGAGTTAATCCGATCTGCGTTATCTCTTTCACACAATTCTGGACTTAGAGTTTGGGGGGTAACATGTGATGGTAGTTATACAAATATTTTGTCTCTAAAAATTTTAGGCTGTGTTATTGGAGATAATTATCATACCAATCAATGTTGGTTTAAGCACCCGGTAAATTCAATGAAAGTTTATTACATTCCAGATGCTTGCCACATGCTTAAACTTGCCAGGAATGTTCTAGGCAACAATAATGTGTCAGAATCAAATTCTGGTTTAATAAAATGGTTCTATATTGAACAATTATTTGAGGTACAAAACAATTTAACACTGAAGCTAGCTAATAAATTAAGCAAAACTCATGTTCATTGGAAAAATAATGAAAGTTAAATATGCCGCACAAACTCTAAGTCCTTCTACATCTGATGCTCTTCATTTTTTAAGATCTATAAATTATAAAAATGTTGTTAGTTCCAAAGCTACAAGTGAGTATTGTAGGATTGTAGACAGATTGTTTGATTTTTTAAATTCTAGAAATCCTTTTTCTAAAGGATTCAAATCTGCTATTTTTGAAAAAAAATATTTCAGTTTTAGAAGAAATTATTATTCCTTTAATCGATTACTTATATAATTTGAAAATAATTTAAAAAAATGTTAGCAGACCATTATATAAATCAGAAAACAAAACATTTATTATTGGCTTTTCAATGTGTGTAAAATCCATATTTTCAATTGCTAAGTCTCTTTTCAAAGAAACAAAGTTACCTTGTATCCTAACATATAGATTTTCACAGGATCACATAGAAATTTTATTTGGTCGTATAAGAATAAGATCCGGTTTGAATAATAATCCTAATGTGCCTCAGTTTAAAACAGACATGAAACAAATACTTATGAAAAATGCGATAACATGTAAGTCCAATAGTAACTGCAATACATTTGACCTAGATGTATTTGGGGGTTTATTTGATTTTAAGTGGAACAAAAAGAAAAATGAACATTATATTGACATAGATACTAATTTAGAAAAAGATATTTTAAATAGATTGTCATTGTTGAATAATACTAACTCTAACTTCCAGGATTTAAAAAATAATATCCTATACTATATTGTTGGCTATATTTTGAGAAAAATAATAATAAAAATTGATTGTGAAAGTTGTGTGAAATGTCTTATAAAATACATAGATGACCACTGTTATGGCCATTATGCTCCATATTCTAAATTTGTGGATTACAAAAATAAAGGAGAGCTTGACTCCCCATCTGAAAGTTCATTCAAAGTTATTTTTGAAGCAGAGAAAATGTTAGTGTGTTTAACAGATAATTTAAAAAATATAAATATAAAAAATTTGGTCAAAATTATAATTACCTAGTGCACAAATAAATTGGTGGGAGATAATAATATTTTTAGATATTTAAATTGTGATAATGTCTTGTTTTTGGATGGACGACATAAATTAATGATAATTTCAGTTTTGATTAAAAAATATTTAAATATAAGACTACATTCTTTTGGCAAAGTATACTCAAGCGATATTTTAAATCCAATTAGTCAACGCCAGAAATTAACCAAAACCATAATATTTTATAATCAATAGACTTATTGAATGTACTTTTAATGTTGTTCTAAGTAACTATGTATATAAAAATAACTATTTTTTTTTCATGTTAGTACTAACTATACTATACTTACTATAGGTACATTTTTTTAAATAATTTTTAGTAATAATTATATTCATAATATAATATACCTATTTAATTATATATTATATTTTCTATATTTATTAATTATTATGTTTATACAAGTCACTAAACATTGCTCTGATATATTAATATAGTATTCTAAGTGACTATGTTTATAATTATTATATTTTATTTTATGTAAGTAAACTTATTAGTTACTATACATTTTTTTATAATTTTTTGTAATAGTAATTTTAGATTCTGAGCGGAGCGATGAATGTATTGGTTTTACAATGATGTGTGTTTTTTTTTATATTTTTATATTTTTATATTTTTATATTTTTGTGTCTGTCATCACGTTTTAGGACAGTAAAAGTGCTTGGATTTTCTTCATCAGTAGCTTTTCTGATAGGAAAGTGAATCTAGTTGGTACTTTGGGGGGTCAAATTTCCCAGTAGTTTTCACAAGCGCCGGGAAAAACAACAAAAAAATTAAGGAAAAACGGGAATTTTTACGCAAAATTGGTTTTCCAAAAAATCGATTTTGGTTATTGGTGTAACTCTAAAACAAATGAACGTATATACATGAAATTTTCACTGGTTGTTTATAATTGCATTTTCTATACACGATAACATTTTCAAAATATTTTGATTTATTTTGAACTGTTTAGGGACATTTTCATTTTCCATTTTTTTTTAGTTTTTTTTCTAAAAATATCAATAAAATTTTATTTGTTGGTTGCGAAAGCTTCAAAATTTAATAGAAGGCTCCTAATATGTTGTTTCAAAGGCAGATGAAAAATATTTAAAATCCTTGGTCACAATTTTTTTTTATAAGCATTTAAAGTTCAAAAATTGACAAAATATGGAAAAATCACTAAAATTAGCAAATTATTTTGAGTTAAGAATTCGTAAAAATTTTTCTTTTTAAATCTAAGATTTGAAAATGAAACACAAGATTCCTTATAAGATTATCTACCTTTATCAATAAAAAAATCTCTACCGGACAGTCAAGTTAAATTTTTATGAGCGTTTGAAATTCAAATTTTTACAACATTGGATATTCACTCGATTACTCATGTAGCGATTTCTTTATTTTGTTGCAATTCAAAAACGAACAACTGTAGATACATGAAAATTTCACTGAATGTTTAAATTAGCATTTTATATACACCATACAATTTTGAAAATATTTTGACTCTTTTTGAGCTGTTTATGGACATTTGCAGCTTTCAATTTTTTTAGTTTTTTTTTCTATTAATATCAATAAAGTTTTATCTGTTGGGCCAAAAAGTGTAAAAATTTAATACAAGGCTCCTGATATATTGTTACAATATCAGTTGAAAAATATTAAAAATACATAGGCACGATTTTTTTTTATAAGCATTTAAAGTTGGAATTTTGACAAAATTTATCAAAATCTCGAAAATTATCAATCGTTGGAATTAAAAATTATAAAATGTTCAGTTTTTATAACTAAGAGTTGAAAATTTAAAACAAAGATTCTCTTAAATAATTCATACTGTAACCAAGAAATCTAAAAAATATATAAACACACTTATTTTTTACAGACATTTTAATTTAAAATTTAGACAAAATTTCATATTTAAACCAAGAATTACGATTTTAGTTATTTTGTTGTGATTGAATAATATTATTCGTGGGTACTTGAAACTTCTAAAGTGTACTATTATATATCTATGATAGTATCATGGTTTTTGTTGATGTATAACGCGTTATAAGTATCTAATACCGTAGTAGCGACACCCACTTGCCCACCTTTTTTGTATTATATTCATAACAATCATAACATAATATAATATAGTAATATACCTATTTAATTATTATGTTTATACAAGGCACTAAACATTACTCTAATATAATAATATAGTGTTCTAAGTGACTATGTTTATAATTATTATATTTTATTTTATGTAAGTGTACTTATTAGTTACTATACATTTTTTTTATAATTTTTTGTATTATATTCATAACAATCATAACATAATATAATATAGGAATATACCTATTTAGTTATTATGTTTATACAAGGCACTAAACATTACTCTTATATATTAATATAGTTAGTCTTGTAAAAAATACTTTTGAAAAAGTATTACGATAGTAATACTAGTATTCGAATAAAAAAGTATTAAAAATACTTTAAAATACTATTATAAAAATGTATTTTAAGAATACTCACAAAGTATTTGAATACAAATACAAATATTTTTTTTTTAATTTTATGCTACCTACTCGTATGTAATATATACATATTGAATATCAGTATAGGTACCCAGATAAATACATGTTCACATATTTCATTCTGCATTTAGATATATTTCAACTAATATTGATTACATTTAACGAAAAAAATAAAATAAAAAGTGGTATTAACTATTAATATGGAACTATTTTAAAATTATTAGATTTTCAGTTTTCTTAAAAAGTTCCAATACAGAAAACCATATAATATTTGATGTGGTATTTTTTAATTTTAAACATTGTTATTACCTACTTTTACTATACAAAATATTAGTTTTCAACGAAAACAATATTATTTTTATTGATGTCAATTTTTTGTGAAAAACTATAAATTAAAATTAATAAAATGGACTTTATTTTATTTTAATACAAGTATTTAAATTTTGTTAAAAATACTTTTAAAAAGGGTTCAA